GCAAGCTGTGGGAGCACGGCGGTGCTGCACAAGTTTGCACACACAAGCAGACTCCACCCACTTTTAGCCTAAGGGGGGCAGGCCGGGACCTACTTAGTCCTAAGGAGGCCCAGGCAACCCTCTACTGCTGCTGAAGCGTCTTCGGCTGCGAGGGTCACACCCCCAATGGTCAGCGATGTACACGACGATCGGGATGGCAGGTCTGCAATATTCGACGGCGATGGGACCCGCGTGTACCAACACCGGATCTCGCCCGAGTCTTCCAAGGTCAGGAGCCCCGTCGCAAGGGCTCTGGCCACACAGCTCCGGCCACGGCCGGAGATGGCCACGTCCCTAGCTGTGTTATTATCGATGTGGCATACAAGAGGCCGATTCTTGAAAACGGCACGCCAATGCACCAAAGCGGCTAGCAGGGCAAGGAATTCAAGCTCAAAGATTATGGTCTTCTTGGATCCTTCGCCCAGCGCCTCGCGGGCATCCTTGTCAGCACACAAAGAGAAAAACCCCAACGGCACCCCACTAGAGCTAAACACCACAGCCCCTAGCCCCGCACACCACGAAGACCCGGGCTCGTAGCAGGCGTCGGTGAACAAAACGAGAGGCTCCTGATGATTGGCTTCGATCGCATGAGGTTTGCTTGCCTTAAGGCAATCGCGGAAGCGAAGAAGCGCATCCCAAAGGTCCTCGCCTTGAACTGAATCACTTCCAGAGTGCACGTGTTTTGTGACGGTCTGCAAGCACAATCTGGACGAGCGACCAAACAGGTAGCTGTCGCAGAACTGCATCCTGCCGCGCAGTCGCTGCGCCGTCGCCCGAGACAGGGCGCGAGACTCCACCACACGAGCAATGAAGTTGCACAGCTCGTCAATCCGCTCACGGGTGTTAGTGATTAACACTTTTCCAAGATGGGCCTCGGACAAATTGAAAACCACACCTAACGCCTTAAAAACCTTAGAAAACTCGGTCGCTTTTGACCCACACTCGTCGAAGTTCCAGCCGAGCAGCCGGAAAAGGGCTGAGGCTGCCGCATCGGTGTGGCGGGTGTCGCATGTCTTTGCAAGAGTGACGAAATCATCAAAGAAGACGCTCCACATCAGTCCCAGACAAGTACATCCTAACCACCAGATTGATGTTGCAGCTCGGATGAAAGAGTATACTGAGCGCGCCGCTCCAAAAGGGAGCGCAAGAAGCTGGTCCACTTCAACCGAGCAAGCTTCAGCATTCCAATGACTCACATAAGAATGTTTCAACGAATTCGGATGAATCGGAAGCTGTCTGTATGCAGAGCGAAGGTCGTAAGCTCTGCCCGAGAGCGGAACCCCGGGTAAGCGGCGCATCGCCGCAAGAGCAGCCCCCGCAATCACGTCAGGGCCATGAGGCTTGGGAGACTCGTGCACGGTCACGAGCTCGTTCACCCCACTAGCCGACATGTCATCGACCAGGCGAACCTTGGCACCCTGCTTCAACCCAAACCTCCTACTGACCAACGCATCCAGCTCAAGCGTTTCCCTAGCAACCGGACCCCTAGCCCACTTCATTTCTCTCTCCTCAACCGTCTTACGGTGGACCACAACGTCCTCATCACCCTGTGGCCTGACACGATCCAAGATTCTTTCCCTCAGCTCGGGGGCCCAAACCGACAAGTCCTTGTCCGACCTATTAGGGGGCCAAAAAACCGGGGGGAAGATCCCTGTCACAGGCGTGGGGCCCGTTAACAAAACGCCCTGAGTCACTTCATTGAAGACATCAACATCCGGATATTCGAATGCTTCCATCAACTCCTTCCAAAGCAAAAGCTTCTTCGGTGCAAGACTCTGAGACACGTGAGGGGCCAACGATTCTTTGAACGCACGCTCTGCGCCTTCAAGCTCAATGCTGCGGGCCGCCCACTTCTTGAAGAACATCGCTCTGCTCCTGGCAAGGGACTCGGATGATTCGGTTGCATTTCTCTCTATGGCACCTGAAAGGGCAGCTGGAAGCACAAAGTCGTTGCGACACGGGTGGCCGGCTGCCACTGCTGCTTTCACAAACTCCTCTGGCGACCTAGGCAACCCCCAAGCCGAAATGAAAACCTCAGGCTCACCCCTCTTAACCGAAGTGTCAGGTGTAACACGCAACAGCTGCGATCCCTCTGGCAAGGTCCGAAGATGGCAGTATACTGATGCAGGCAGCTGCAGCGAAGCTTTCAAGCGGCCCATGCAAACAACGGGCCAGTCAGCTGAGTCAGCTGAGCCTCGAGTGATGACGACTTGTTGGTGCTCCGACACCAACGCAGGGAATTTGGATGCCTTGGGCTGCGACAGCGTGGCCGCCCTAGCAGACATGTCGGCTGCGGGCGGCGAAGCCGCTGGCTCATGTTTTATGCAAGCTGCCAAGCGAGTAGCCAACTTCCAGGAGTATGCCCGATCGGACGACTCCGGTTGCAAGTGAGGCTGGCCACAAGTGCAAGAAGTCTGAAGACTGCTAAAGGCATCACGATTGCTGGCGATAGCACTAGACACTGGCTCAGAATCGAAGCAGCACAAGTTAAGCAGAACGACGTGGGGACACAGTGTCTCAACCTGCTTGCCAGCCTCCGACGCCCAAAATGGGCTGCTGAGAGGCAGTTCGAAAGAAACTAAGTGCTTGGCTTCCACAGCGAAGCTCACAAGAGCCGCAAGAGCAAAACACAAAGGCTCATCACACGCAAACGGCGGCGCCAAATGCACAGCAAACACATGAGGGGAGCGCAACCACTCGATGATCAAAGGAACCTGCATGCTGATGTCCACTTTTCGCGGGATCGTTGAAGCTGAGGAGCTTGGCTGGATGTCAACGCAAACGGAACCCGGGTAACCATGCGCCTTAAGGTGCGAAGTGAGGCGGCCGATGCCCGCAAAAAGCTCCACACACACGGGGAAGCTCGAAGTAGGCCTGAGGAAGACATCCGCGGTGCCAATGGCAGGAACTGCAAATTGGGCTTGCAGCAAACTCTCGATTAGATCAGGCCCCATGGCTTCGAAGCCTTTGACAGTAAATGCCACCAGCAAGCGCTGCAAACCAGACCAGGGCACTGTTGCGTGATTGACATGTGAATCGAATTGAATCGCGCCGCAATCAAAATTCAAGACATGACCAAGTTCACTGCCCGATGGGTCGGGGCAGACCTCGGCACCATCTCCTTGGACCCAGATGCCGCCGCCCCCGAATTGACTGAGTGCAATGGCGGTATTCACGGAGGCTGCAGCATTGTTTAAGTCACGATGCACGATGGCACGTTGATTCGAAAGAAGCGCAAGACTAGTGAAAGTTGCATTCGACTGGGCAGCTCTGAGGACGCAGGCCAAAAGAGTCGAGGTTAAAGGAAACAGCGTCAGGTTCTGGCGCGCCCCCAGGTTGCCACCTAAGACGTAAGCGCCGGTTGTCCAAGAGTGGACCTCAGCGTTGGCCTCGGTCATGCGAGCCGGGCTCTCAGAGGGTAGTAGAGATACAAGGGCTGCAATGCAAGCCACATCAAAAACCTGGGATTGGATCACCTCAAAGGCAAGCTGCTCAGCGGGGTGATCGGTAACCACGCATGCCAAATCAACCCTTGCACACAAACTTGCGAAGATGTTTGGATCGAAGGATGGAAGGACACACGTTGCAAAATTTTTCACATCTGCTGTGGACGTCGGCCCGGGAAGTTCCGAGCCGACAGCCTGTCACTCCTTGTCTTTGTGATTCAAGAGAGCATGCTCACCGAAGCAGCGAGCACAGACATGCTTGCGAGGGCAATTTGGCACTGCACACTTGCCGTGAATGGAATACGTGAAGCAGATGGGCTCACCTGCCGGCGTGGCTGCATGGCCACCGCGATCCCTGATGAACTTAGGAATGCTCACCCATGGGGCAGCTGTTTTGCCGCCCTTTCCATTTCCCTTCTTGTTCTTGTCCTTGCCTTTTCCAGGGGTATCCTGATGCTGAGTCTTCAGTCGCTTCCAAGGCCTAGGTGGATTCCCGGGCCCCTTGCTGGGGAGGTGCATCAAGGCGAAACTTACTTCATACGATTCAAGAGCCTCATGAGGGGCCTTGTCCATCGGCATGCTGCCATCTGTGTCCTGCTTGGGCTTGATGTTCAGTTCGATCAACCTGGTGAACACCAGTCGGTCGGCTTCCACGATTTGGCTGACGGAGATGCGATTGCAAGACGGTGGGGGGTCCCGGTGCATGTGAGCGAAAAGCCTAGTCACATATTTGTCATAAGAGTTCCACGTCACGGCTTGGGCGAACGTGTACGCTAACCCTCTCCTTCGAAGAGCCTCCTGAACTTGCAGAGCAGAAGAAGCTGGCATTGAGATCTCGTCCTGGGCATCCTTGATGACCAAGCGGCTTTGGTCAATCTCCACTTGACGGCTTGAGGGCTTGGCGTGAGTCACCTCGTGCAATCGACTGATGCATCTGTCTGGCGACAAGTACTTAAGCTGTCCGAGAGCCTCCTGATGCGCACACTCATCCAAAAGCTTCCTCCCGGGCTCCAGTGGCCCCTCAATGTTCAGACCACTTAAGTCATCCCTCAAACGCTGGAGCCTGCGCTCTCTTTCTGCCTCAGGGACCCTCTTTGATGCTGCATCCGGCTCCGTCACTTGCGCACGAAGCTGCGTGAGGGCTAAAGTCTGAGCTTCGAAGACGAGCCGCTTCAACGACGCTAAGTCGGCTGCCGACGCTGCCGGCACGTGAGCTCTGCACCAGTCTGTGAACTCAAGCTCAGGAATAAGCTGCCCCGGCTGCCCCACTGCATAGGCTAATTGCCCCAGCGTCTGGAAACCATGCCTCTTCAGAGCCAGGATGGACTCATTCGACAGCCGGACCTCAGCGGCTCGCGCAGCAAAGTGCGCCTCAGACTCAACCAACGACGTCATGGCGCAGCTGCTTCTTCACCGAACACCCCCAAGCTAAAAGAAGTGACAGTTGACAGCCGGTTGCCACAAACCCCCTTTTGCAGCAATTAGGCGCAACAACCAAACGAACCACTCAAACCTTGTATCTCGTAGCACTCGAGCCACTCGGCGCGGAAGCACAGTCTTGACCCAGGACATATCGTCCTTAATGGGCAGGGCCAGGCCCCCCTTGCCCGAGGAGGGTGGCGGCCCCTGAGGACCCATGCCACCCACTTCCTCTGGATCATAATCAGCAACGGCAAGCTCGATAGACACTTTATGTCCACATGCCTTGGCGCCATGCGCACTCACAAGCAGCCATGACTGCCCTGCTCTTTTCTGCCCTCAGCTGGAATTTCGTTGGCAAGTCTTGCACACGAGATTTCCCATGCGCGTGACGTCCTCAACAGCTTTATAAGCCGGAGTGCGTGGCCTTCCACACACCAAAATCTTCTCTCGATACACACGGTGCAAAATCTGGGAGCGTCTGTGCACCACCCAGCCACCCTCTGCATCAATGCGGTTCGGAACTGCATCTGACACCCTCGCCCTCTTAGCTAGCGGCTTTGCATCTCCGTCCGATGAACTGGACTCGCTGCTGCTGCTGCTACTTGAAGTGGAGCAGCTGCTTTGCCCCTCGTCCACCGACGCCTCTTCCCCGATGTCAGTCGGCACCTCGGGAATGCCCACAACAGGCTCACTAGCAATGACCTGCTGCGCAGGGGGAGCGACCTCACCTGCTGGCGGTGGGAAGGCCCACATCAAGGACCGCGAGGCATCGGGAGCAAACGTCCCGGTCACAATGAAGCGGAGCAGCGATTCAAGCTTCTGAACATGAGGCAGCCCCAACTCCACTGAGTAGATTGCTTCGGTACCCTCAGTTGTGTATGCATGACGACCTAGGCAGCACCTGGTCAAGCGATCGAATCCTGCCTTGCTGGCCCACGAGAGGCATGTTCGCTTTAGGCTATGACTGGTCACACGCTCACCAAGCTCGGGAGCCTCTCTGCCGAGGCCCAAGACCAGCCGGACAAAGATGGAGATCTCATCGGAGGTCACGCTTCGGTTGCACAGGCTTTTCGAATCAAGGTCCTTCGGAGGCCTACACAGAGGCCCTTTTATGTCTCCCGACAAAGAGAGCCCCACCTTCTCGAAGGCATCCTTAGCTGCGAAGATCCATGGCCGAGAGTGTATTCCAGCCACTGGCACGATGATTGGCAACAAACGAGCCTTCTTTGCAGTGGCCCGCGACGTCTTATGGTGTCGGGTGTAGATTATGATGTACCCCTGGCAGCCTTCAGTTGAACCAACCCCCGAGGAAGGCACGTCCCACTCAATGTAGTCAACTCGCTTAAGATCACTATGACGGGCTCTGCCGTAGAGGGCAATCAAGCAGTAGGCGCAAAAGACTTTATCCCAAAGGCTAGTTGCATCGGCATGCAACTTTTCGTGAAGGACAAGGATCTGCGCTACTGTCAGCGGCGCTGCTTGTCTCACCACGCCAGCTTGTCCCGCAAGCTTCTCGGCCAACCCCACGCAACGCCTGCTGGGCTCCTCGGTGCAGTCCAATCCCATTACATACTTTCCGAACCTGACACTCGCCAAGAAGGATGTACCGCTGGACGCGGATGCGCCCGAGGACTCAAGGAACCGCAGGTATTTCCAGTAGGCTTCATCACAAAATGCTGAGATGCTGGAGTTGGTTAGCACATCAAGCCATCGCATGAAAGCAGCAAAAGTGTTAGCACGCTTGGTGACTGTGTGCACTGACCGGGTGCCGAAGCACGCAATGACTTCCTCTTCCGAGGTCGGTGCTAAGCCCAACTCGCGGGCATACCTGAAGACAATGAAGGACCACTTTGCCGCAGCACGATGTAGCAACCTTTCCTCCCGCATGGCATCATCCTCATCTCTGAATTTCCGAATGGCATGCGCACAAATGTTACCCTCGAACAAGGCACTGGCAACTGCGGGACCCTTGCGATGCAGCACGACCTGAGCTGGCAGGGCAGGCGGGGCCTCCTTGACAGCCAAGGTCACAGGCGGCAAGCCTGCAATCGCCGTAGGAGTGTCGTTCGAGAAAATTGCTTTCATCAACGGAGTCTCCCAAGGCAGTTGCAAAGCTTCAATCGGATCCTCCGAAAACCTGGCCACCACTTGCTGCACGAGGGAGCCTACTGACTGCCTACAAGCAGGCGGATGTCCTGGCGCAAGCGACGAGGCTTGCTGGGTGCCTTTGCCGGCCGAGCTGGCCCCATTACCTGCACTAGCTTGCTGGTCCACTTCAAGAGCATGCTCTGTCGCGACACCAGATGCATCGCTTGGGAGGCGGGGCTCTCCGCCGGCCGAACCTGAATGAACACTAAAAGTCGCCCACGGCTCGGGCTCTCCTTCAAGCTCATCACACGAGAGACGTGCCCCTGGGCCTTGCTCGGATTCACTGAAAACACCACCCTGAGGAGACTCAAGGTCAGGCGATGCAACCACTGGCAACTCATCCCCCCCTTTAGCCGATGCAGTAGGAGAAATTACGTCAAGCTGATCGAGGAACCCGAATGTAGGAGCCGAGCACGTGGGTTCGGAAGTAGAGGATTCGGGCATGGCGGCAAGCTATGGTTGCCTGCAAAAGCTGTTTAGGCCAGTAGGCGTAGCAGCTGCACAAGAAAGACACCCAGAATCAGCAGCGCCTGAGAAAAACGCTGAAGACGGAGCTCGAAAATTTGCAGTGCAAGTGTGTGCTGGGCCGAAATGTTCTCAAGATCGTCTTCGGTATCCTGAAGCCTGCCGTTGAAATTCAGAACAGTGCGAGCCACCTCCTCGCGGAGCTCCTGTAAGCCCGGTCCTTGAGCACGCAAACTGGCTATCTGAAGATAGGCTCCGTCGAGACGGCCCCGTTGCTCTTGCAGCCAAAGCCTGTAAGCAGCAAGCACCCGTTGGATGCGGTCAATCAAGCGGAGCACAGACGGCAGCTCGGAGAGCTGGCGGGCATCCATGCACACGGCCCGCTGCTACGTTCAAAAGTTTTTCACTAGCATGAAGTGAGGAATGCGTCCTGAGTGCTGCAGACATGTTGTCAGGGACAAGCAGATGCAATGCACATGCCACTCCGCATGACTCGAGCATGTAGAGGCGACGCGGCCACCAAGTTCGCAAGACAAGCACTTGCTGACACTGCACTGCGCAAACTTTAGAAAACCCAAAAGGGAACACTTTTGCGAGGTTACTTAGCTCGAGGTGGCAGAAAATTCATAAAGCATGGCCCAAGAATTTTCAAGGAAATTTGCAGCCATTAAAGCACTAGCAGACAAGTCTGCAGGTACGCTTCTTCATCAGCATCGTTACCGGCTGCTGGAAGTTGCACACCTGCAATGCAGAAAATGTCAAAGAAAACCAAGAAACTCAAGTTCTACAACAACCATTCACTTTTCCAAAATCCTTCCAGCTGGATCTTTGTTGCTAATCGGAACTGCAGCGAAGCTTGCATGCCGTCTGCAGTAAGCGATGATGGTTGGCTTTTTGTGAAGCTGGAAAGATACAAACCGCATCTTCTGCTCTGCTTTAGTGGTCCAGCTCTGACTACAACAACAATGGCCGTAGATTCCGTTGAGCCAAAAACTGACAACGTGAGATTGTTCCACCTGGACACCACTGCTGTCACAACGGCTTGCAATCTTGTTTTTGCATGGTTCAGCAAATGCCCACATGTGAAGGAAAAGGAAAAGGATTTCCCTCCACAGTAAGAACCCATGATGAGAATTGCACCACTTCCAAACATGTCTTCTGAGAGCGCACTGTCCCCGCCAAAGTTTCTGGGACGGCCTGACTGTCCAATCCACAACTTACAGTGGTGCAAATGGAGGCTCTTGAAGCTTCCTCACTTGCCAAGCGCCAGCGATGCAGCCTGCAAGCGCAAACTTTGCCTAAAAAACACATCAAACTCTGCAGGATACTTTCTCTCTACTCTTTTTCAAAACCTTCCGCAGACCCAGACTCGTGCTATTCCCCATTGTAGGAATCTTCTCCGCCTCAAAAGACAAAATGCGAACGCTAATGTGGTCATCTCGATTTTTATTGACAGCCATACGGTCTGTGTCTCTGAAAACCTCCACAATCTGCAAATGCGAGCAGGTCGTTGGATTCTCCGCGAGATGTCGAAGCACGTATATCAGCTGCATCGTCCGCAGCCTTTTTGTTGGCTTAAAGCAAGGCGTTGTGACTCAAAACGCTGCTCGCAGTGCCGTCGTGGCCCCGTAGTGCTAGACTGTGGGTCTTAACAGCTTCCAAACATTTTTTTGTCCACCATCCCGCTGTTCAACAGTATAAAGGCAGGTTTCGGGTCTTTCTACCTTTGGCGGCAGAGTCGTTAGGCGAAGCGCAGTGCAGATATTCTCACATAGGCTCAGTCCGCATATGCGGCACTGGACAGATAGTCCCTTCGAAAACTAAGTGGCAGAGAGCCTTCACCCCGTTCTCGCTCAGCCTTGTATGGTTCTTTAAGCGACCGCAAAGCCGAATGGCCCGGGTATCACGTCTAGACTCCACACAGGCAAAGGACCATGCGATGACAGCCTTCAGGCTAGCAACCGACAGCATGGCTCGTCGGTGTGCGGCCTGCTCGCTATGGGAAAGACGCACGATCCGTGTGGGGCTTTGTTGATAAGCACATGACCACCGCTGTGCGTGTCACGGACCTAGCTGTGCTCGCTGGCCGGCCAGAGGTCACCGTTAAGGTTCTGGACTCGTGAGGCATCATGGAGCAATACCCGGGCCATTCGGCTTTGCGGTCGCTTACGGACTAGTGCAACGATTTGCCGAGAAAGAAGGAAGAGCCCTTGCCATGCGGCTCAAGGTTGAACAGGCATCAGGCGACAGTGCATTGGGGTTGATTGATTGATGACCTTATCGTCAATTGCAGCTCTTGCTGCCGATTGGCCGGCGTGGAAGTGCAAGCTTCTCACGCAGACCATCAAGGAAGCTCCGGAGCTAGCCGAGCAGTACCGGCAGAAAGTGGCGGCGTCGCTGGCCCACGCCAACGCCTATCAGCCTCACGAACTCAATCAACTGCTGCTTGATGCTGGCAAACAGGTCTTCCGGATCAGACGACCCAGTTGCTTGCAGGCACCAGCCGCAGACTCAGAACATGTGGGCAGCATCCGGCAGATGTGGGAACACTATCGCCGCACGCTGTCGCCGGGCAACTTCACGAACCGAACCCTGCTGCGCAATGCTGTCCAGGCTTGGCGACATTGGTTCCAATTCCACCGGTTGCATAAGATAGTGCAGAAACGTAGCAGACAACTTCGTAGGCGGCGATTGGACATGCTGCTCTCGGAAGCCCAGGCCCATGACAGAGCAGGTTGCACATCAGCCATCTTTATTCTCCGTAAGCACGCACCCAAGCAGCCACGGAGGAGGGCGCAGTTGCGCAGCACCTCGGGCAAGCTTCTCACACCGCATGAGGAGACGAAGGTCATGCTTGACTTTTGGAAGGGTGTCAACGGTGCCAGTGGTAACAAGCCGCCTCCCGATCAGGCGCAGACCACGTTCCAGTACGACATCACCCGCAGTGAGCTCACTCAGGCAAACTACAGGCCCGGAAGTCAGCCCCCAACATTGCGCCCCACATGCATTCTGGAATCTGGAACCTTGCTGCACCTGACATCGCAGACTTCATGGAACAGCATGTTTTC